GGGAGAAGGCGCTGCCTTTGTTTATTCGCCTATCAAGCATCTCACAGGCAAGCCAAAATCCATCACTCGGGATCGGGGTGGGTAAATACCCCCGGGTAGGAAACCTTTCCACCCCACTCCTGCCCCCGCCACACGTAGGCAGGAACGATCTCATGTATTTGAAGTTGTACGGAGAGGGGTAACCTGGAGAGAAAGGTTGGGAAAAAAAAAAAAAAAGACGCCGGTTACAGGAGAGGGTTTGATCCTAGAGCTGGAACGAAGGAACAGCCCAGCCCCTTTGCATTACTGATTCCTCGATCACCCTTATCTCAGAGACTGGTATTAAAACAGCCTCTCGGTGATAAACGGTCAACCCCCTTGCCGTGTGGTGCCCTGCAGTGTTTCTTAAGAAGAAAGAAAGAAAGAAAAAAACCTCGAAAGTCCCTATCCTGGTGAAGCAAAGCACATATTTGTAGCTGCCAGTAAATCCAAGCAGCTTTTATATCGAAATGCTCTGTGCCTGAGGCCAAGTCATGCTGCTAAATATTGCTGACCACTTTTTCTTTTATGGCTTTCATGTCACTTAGCTATTGAAAGTAAGATGGATTTGTACCATTTCTTCACCCTGCTCTGCTCTCCCCACACCCCAGGTCTGCCCGGAGAGGCCATTGGAGGAAGAGTGCCACGTGACAGAGGGGTGCCAATGTTATTCTCCAAGGGTGTCAAGACCCTGTCAGTTTGCGAAATAAATATTGGGAAACAACGAAATGCAAAAAGCGACCTACTACGACAGCTCTGCAATCTATGGTGCCTACCCCTACCAAGGAGCAAATGGTTTCACTTATAATGCGAGTCAGCAGCAATATCCTCCATCTTCATCACTTGTGGAAACTGAGTACCACCGCCCCGCGTGCTCCCTCCAGTCCCCTGGCAGCTCCGTGTCCCACCACAAGGCCAATGACATCAGTGAGAGTTGCATGAGGACCCTCCCCAGCCAGCCTCTCCAGCCCTCCAGCCTCGCCGACCCACAGGCCCCACCGCAGCCACCTCCAGCCCAGCAGGCACAACCTCCACCTCCATCCTCTGCCTCACCATCTCAAAATGCCAGCAGCAATCCTGCCCCGGCCAACCCCACCAAGAGCCCGGCTCTTAACTCGCCCACCATGTCCAAACAGATATTCCCATGGATGAAAGAGTCTCGGCAAAACACAAAGCAGAAAAACAGCAGTTCCAGTTCAGGTATGAAACATGGTCCTCCCTCTCCCTGGGTACCCTTGGGCTGGACACACATCTGGTGGGGAGGAGGGCAGCCCTGCCTACCTTCACTTCGGGCAGGGGAGGGAGGGGGCTTTTTTCCTCTCTGATTTGACCCCCTCAGGCTTTTGGAAAGGGGTTGCCACCACCTGCAAGGGGAGCTCAGTGAACAAACCACCCCCTGCAAAACTTTCCCAGCCTTGCAGGATGGGTCTGAAGTGGTATTTTTTCCTGATGGCTGAACCACTTGTGCATCTATCACATTTCCTAGGTAATCCCCCTCCAGTAAATCATGTCAGTGCGAAGCAGCCCAGGCCTTAAGCCAGAGGCCTGTCCCAAGTACTTTGTTGGCACGGTGCTGTTAGATTAATAAGACAGTGACCTATCTCTGCTGAAGTGTAACAGGAATAAAATAGCTCATAATCATGTGCAGGCAGGATCAATGCCCTGCGTGCAGTCAGAACCTCTTCCTATTTTAACAAGCTGATTGGCAAAGTTACAAGCTTGGTAAACAAAAATCATTCTGGAGTGCCATAAACTTCAGCCCATAAAATAATATCTGAGGGATGGAAGTGTATATTAACGCTTTTATTACCAGAAGAAACCCAAATCAATAACACCGGTGCTAGCTCCAATGCTCAGTAGTTGTGCTTATATTAACCTCTTCCTCTTTTTCTCTTAAATGTGCCTTGGAAATAGAGTCCAAAACTTTAGTGGATGTCTTTGTCAGAGTGCTATTTAAAGTTCTGGTAATACTGCTGTTTACAACCTTCCATATAATGTATTTATTTTATTAAAAAGTAGTAACATTCAAATATGCCTGTATGCCTGCACGCAAGCCTAGCCACCGTATGTTCTTCTTATGTATATTGTACTTCCCAATCACTACCATATGTTTTTGCTATATGTTAGATGTGACAGAAACGCTGTACTGTCAATTCTCTGCTTATATGTTATAATGTTACACGTAGATACCTAACCTTCAGGCATCTCTAGCTGAAGTGTATATATCAGGGTTTTGGGAAAAAGAGGGCTGAGGATCTTTACAGCAATGGAGAAGAGCTAGTTTTTGAAGACCCTGATTCCCCTATGTAGGCAGAGTCCTAGGTTCACCTTCAGAGTTTCTAAACCCTGTTGTATTTCCTTGAACTTTTCTCACTCCTTTATGCAAAGCTCAAGATAGAGTGTATGCTGTCACCCTTAAAGGAAGCAAGGACAGTCATATAGTGGCACTAATGACATGAAGGAGTCTATAGAGGCTTGTAGGTTGGCACAACTGAGCTGGTGCCATGGGGGAGTACTCGTGCATGTGGGCGTCCATCTTGCGTCTGAGAGCTGGACTCTCCGGGTGCTGGTGTTGTTGGCCATTGTGTCTGGTTGCTGTGTCCGGGTTCGCCATGCTGATTGTGTTCTTTGTGTGATTTACATAGGTGAGAGTTGTGCTGGTGATAAAAGCCCTCCGGGGCAAGCCTCCTCTAAGCGAGCCCGTACAGCTTACACAAGTGCCCAGCTGGTAGAACTGGAAAAGGAGTTCCACTTCAATAGGTACCTTTGCAGGCCACGAAGGGTAGAGATGGCTAATTTGCTCAATCTCACAGAAAGACAGATCAAAATCTGGTTTCAGAACCGCAGAATGAAATACAAAAAGGATCAAAAGGGCAAGGGCATGATGACCTCTTCAGGAGGACAGTCCCCGAGCAGAAGCCCTGTCCCTCCAGCTGCTGGGGGATATCTAAACTCTATGCATTCTTTAGTAAACAGTGTCCCCTACGAGCCCCAGTCGCCTCCACCATTTAACAAGCCTCATCAAAACACCTATGGCATCCCTGCATCGTATACCGCTCCTCTTAATAATTGCCCACCTCCTCAAAAGAGATACACGGGGACGGCAGCTGTGACACCTGAATACGATACTCATCCTCTTCAAGGCAATGGTTATGGGAATCCACACATACAGGGAAGCCCCGTCTATGTAGGGGGCAACTACGTGGAGACCATGACCAATTCTGGGCCTTCCATCTTTGGTCTAACTCATCTCCCTCACCCTCCCTCTGCCAACATGGACTACAGCGGGGCTGGGCCAATGGCCAACAATCACCACCACGGACCTTGCGATCCGCACCCAACATACACAGACCTTACTGCTCACCATCCTTCTCAGGGAAGAATTCAGGAAGCGCCCAAACTCACCCATCTGTAAGAGACAGGAGTCACTAAGTGGAACGCCAAGCCCCCAACTTTTGGAAAGTACTCACCCCCCACCCCGCTTCTCTCTCTCCTCCTCCCGCCATGTGCCCTCCCCTCCCCTTCTTGTTTATTTTGTTTGTTTGGGTTTGTTTTGTTTCCTTTGGTAAAAGCGTTTTCTAGTTTATGTGACGTAGCAATATTTGTTGCTTGAATTGCTCTATAGTTTCACTAGTGGATATTTATCTTCTTGAACTGTAGCCTTGTGTCTCACTTTGGGAGTATACAGAGGCTTTATACTTTACCTTCTACACTTTTATCAAAACAGGGTATATGAACAAATTTTCTATAAAAGGAATTCTTAAATGTGAATTTGTTCGTACATGATTGATCCCACGGGGAAGCAATTTTTTTTATTGCACTTCTTTTAAATAGCGAGAAAGACATCAAAAGCGCTTGGACAGGGACTCCCTGGACAATTATTAATACGTGTAAGTCTTTCAATGTGTGTATGCTGGTGAACATTCAGATTTATTTATATTTTTTTTTGCAAACATTGAATAATCTAAGTGTTTAAAATTTTATTTATCCCCATTTGTTCATATTTATATATATATAAAAAAATCTGTACCCTGAATATTCAGGAAGTATTTACCTGGCCATATGTTAGATGGCATATTGGCACGCGTAGGAAATATCATTTGAAAGGAAACTATAACTCCTTTTATTAAAAATGGTGATAACGATGATGATGACGATGCAATAAAAGCTGGGAAAAAAGATCACGGTTTGAATACTTTATGCTTGTAACATCCAGCTAGGCGGAAAGCGTGTGAAGCTGAAAAGGCTAGATTTGTTTTGAAAGTTATACATTCCTTGCTGCTCACGTTCTGAAA